CCGAGGAAGTTGATTATTGACTTGGTTCTCCAGTCACTTCCCAAATCATATAGTGAGCTCGTTAAAGACTACTATGTGACAGATCACGACATTTCTCTTATTGATCTTGCCTATTTGATAATTGCTGTTGAATCAGTAATGATTTGGCACAATGATCATGTAACACCGTAAATTTCAAAACAAAATTTTCAATTTTTATAAAACATAATTCACTTAATATTCATAAAACAACCATGTTTGAAATTCAATCCAAGTAATACAAAAATCCCAAGATCTCAAAATCATAAATCCCATGCGTGTGTACTGATCAAGCAGGCGCCTTCCCACGGTCGTCAGTAGTACCTGTAACAAATAACACCAAACACTGTAAGCACAAAGCTTAGTGAGTTCCCCAAAATACCACATACAACACATATTAGCCCCTCGAGGCTATAACTCTGTGGGTTCGTGCACCCAAACTCTGTGAACCCTCGGGTTCTAACTCTTTAAACATGCAAAACATAAATCACAAAGAATAATGCAGCACAACACATACACATATATAGCATACAAACACTGTATCACATAACTCTAGTTACCTACTCAAGGTAAAGTATAGTGAGAAGACTCACCTTGCGTATCTCGGTAACTCGCAAGTCCCTGAAATCACTCGTGCTCGATCTCCCGATCTATAGTCCTCCTATAACACAATACGTCTCTAAATAACACTTCACAACTAAGGTTGACTATCCCTTAACAAGTCAACATAGGTCAACACTGGTCAATGGTCAACGGTCAACTTTGACCGGACTCGGCGAGTGCACTATAGCGACTCGGCGAGTCTATGCGCATACACTGATTTCCCTGGGATCCTCACTTGACACGACGAGTATTCTCCTAGCTCGACGAGTTCCACCTGGCATGAGTTGTGGGGCCTCCACAACTCAACTCGCTGAGTCTCAAGAACAACTCGGCGAGTTCCAGCTTGACTCAGTCCACCTGTCAACCCACTCTGACTCTCCCTGACTCACTGAGTCAATCCCTTAACTCGGCAAGACCACTCGCTGAGTGGCGCTGGGAAATCTTCATGCTACTCGCCGAGTCTGTTCTTCAGACTCGGCGAGTCCATGCCATGCATCAACTCAAACTCACTCCTGAGGTCAGATCTGTTCCATACATTCATAGATCTGGCCTCCCCAAGCATGATAATCACGTAAAGTCCAAACCTTGGGGCTCAAACAACAACTATTTGCTCATAAATGATGTTTTAGCCCCATATCTCATAACTCTAGGCCAATGCTCTCATGAACCCTCATAAAGCTTTAGGAATACAACTCTTCTGGACCTCTATGGATATCATCTCAAGCCTTATCATTAATAGGGATGAAATGGACATCAAATCTAACCAACAAAGGGGTCAAGAAACCCTAAACCCCCATGTTCATCATAAAAACGAAAAAGGAAGCCAAGATATACCTCCAAGATGATGCTCTGAGCTCCAAAATCGCAGAATGTCCACTTCCCTTGCCTTCTCTTAGCTAGAATCTCCTTTTCCTTGCTAAACCAAGCTCCAAAGGTCAATAATGGCATCTTTTCTCTCCCAAAACGCTCAAATCTCTTTAGGATTTCTCTCTAGGGGTTGGTGGCCGCAAATGACGGCCATAAGCCCCTTTAAATAGGTCTTAAATCCTGGAAATTAGGGTTTCATTAAACAGCGTGGACTCGCCGAGTCCACTCTTGGATTCGTCGAGTCCAGAAGTGAACCCGCGTCCAAAATCGCGATCCTACTCGGCGAGTTTGAGCTCCAACTCGCCGAGTCCACTCATAATTCTTCAAAAAATACACTAATAATAAATACCTGGAAATTCCGGGCTGTTACAATTCTCCCCCACTAGAACTAGACTTCGCCCTCGAAGTCTTGCTCTGCAAATAACTCCGGATGCTGCTCGCACATCTCGCTCCGGTTCCCAAGTCATCTCGGACCCCTTCCGATGCTGCCACTGAACCAAAACCAAAGGTACCTCCTTGTTCCTCAGAACTTTGATTTTACGATCTCTGATTTCCACTGGTCTCTCAGCATAATTCAGGCTCGCATCCACCTGAATATCCTCTAATGGAACCACTGCCGACTCATCGGCTATACACTTCCGCAATTGCGACACATGGAAAGTGTCGTGAATCTGCCCCAACTCTGCTCGCAAATCCAAATGATAGGCTACCCTGCCTACCCTCGCGACTACCCGAAATGGTCCGATATATCGGGGCCCCAACTTGCTCCTCTTCCTGAATCGAATCACTCCTTTCCAAGGAGAGACCTTCAGGAGCACAAAGTCGCCGACCTGGAACTCAAGTTCGGACCGGCATCTGTCCGCATAACTCTTCTGTCGACTCTGAGCAGTCAGTAACCTCTGTCTGACCTTCTGGATCTGCTCTGTCGTCTGAAGTATGATCTCAGTGTTGCCCATAACGCGCTGTCCGACTTCTCCCCAGAAAATGGGGGTCCGACACCTCCTCCCATACAACAGCTCAAAGGGTGGCACAACAATGCTCGAATGATGGTTGTTGTTGTAAGGAAACTCAGCCAAGGGCAAATACGTATCCCAACTTCCCCCGAAATCCAATACACATGCTCGGAGCATGTCCTCGAGCGTCCGAATCGTCCGCTCACTCTGTCCGTCTGTCTGGGGGTGATATGCGGTACTAAAAGGCAACCTAGTACCCAGCTCCTCATGAAACTTCTTCTAGAATCTGGAAGTGAAACGTACATCCCGGTCTGAGACAATCGAGATCGGCACCCCATGCCAAGATACCACTTCCCTCACATACATCTCTGCTAACTTCTTTGCGGAAGAACTCTCGCTGATAGCAAGGAAGTGAGCGCTCTTCGTCAACCTGTCCACAATCACCCAAATTGCATCAACTCCTCGAGCAGTCCTTGGCAATTTGGTG